GTTTTCTCTGAATAAGAGATAGCACCCCTTATTGACAAGGATGAATCCTAACTAATGGGCACCTACAAAGAAGGCAAGCATCTCTAAGAAGAAAAAGTCACTGTTCTAGGACATGGAATTGGTTTGTACAATATTTTTTTTTTTGCCCTGGGCTACAGCACCTGTGCTGATCTGACAGGATATTCAAATGCAGTTTTCCCTTAACAAGTTCCCAAATAGTGCTGGCAGGCGAGAAAAAAGACAGGTCCCTGGGACTATCCCTAATATTAAGGGTCATTTCTAAAATCACAAATTGAGAAATCACTGAGTTTAATTCAGAACTCAGGACTCTGAAACATTGTTCTTAGTTGTATTAAAGAAAGCTTGCACCTACATTTAAATATGATCTTGCAGTTTTGAGAAAACATTGTCACTTTGCCAATTGTTAAAAATACTTGATCTGCCATTGACTTCATTGAATATGGCCTGGTAAGTGCCTTTGGAGAGCAGTGGAAACTTCTGGGATCCAATCACTTCAGTCACAGAAATGCTTGCCTGTTTTGAACTGTTATCTTCCATAAATGTTGGCTGTGTTTGGTATTGTAAATTGAACTATATTATCCTTATCAACCTCTGTGATAAAGTTATAGCTGTTTTCATGAGTATTGTATGGTCACTAAGATATAATATAAATTACATTTAGAACATGGCAAGGTTTTTTTCCTTTGTTTTTTGCACAATAAAAAAAGTTATAAGGCTCTTTAAAAAATCACATATTTTAAGACAAATTGTTCTTTTATAGTAAATGACTAGAAATGATGCTCTATTACGTATGAAGAAGGAGGTGTTCCTTGTGTGTTGCCTTAGTTGTGAAATGTATCCCATTGCTCACTGTTCCCTAGATAAATATTTTCTTTGAAAACTCAAAGCCCTTAGCTGCTCCTTCTATAAAGGTTTTATCTCATAGGAAATCCCTTAACTGTTTGTTTATTTAATCATCCTCTTCAAAGCTGCCAGTAGTTAGTATTTGCTCAATACCCCTTTAAATTCAGTATGGGTAAGACACCTATCTTTCTTCATAATTGAGACATCAGATACTGGTTGAAAGATTATTACCATATTTGTATGCATATTTCACCTAATAAGTTGTATTTAAGTGGGATCTACTAAATTAAAGATATCCATGACCACGATGACAATTAAAATTTTCTTAATATTACTTTTTTTCCTCAATCTACCTCAACTTACTAGTAGTTACCATTTTCATATAGTTATTTCTTAATAATGTAATTTAAGGCTTTAGACACTTCTTAGTGTAAAAAAGCTTAAGTTATAGGTCATGCAAAATTCTTCAGGGTTAGTTCTTCAACATGGAAGTTAAAATAGTGTGTTATATCTCTCTTTATTGTTTATACTAGTCTCCCCCAACTGCATACAATCTATATTTTCCTGAAAGTTTCCAATCTGGCTTTAATAACTTTAATTCAAACCTAGTTAAAAATAACTTTAATTAATGTTTTATTTTAAAAATATTTACAACTGTGCTACAGCAAAAAAACAAAACAAAACAAAAACAACAACAACAACAACAACAAAACAACCACTAAGCAAATAAAATGGAAATGAAGATACAACTGTAACATTTTCCCAAATGGTGTATTGTCCTGGATGTCATGTGGAAGTTAATCAACAATCCTTTGAATTTAGTTTCCCATTTTTTTCTTGGGAGTTTGAGCTCTGAAAAATTACATAAAGTGAATCAATGAAAAATAATAGTCACAATCTAAAAGATATTCTTAAAGAAAAATTCAATAATGTAAATAGAACTAATTCATAGGAAACTTCTCTGTATCCCTAAAATATTATATTTTTCCAAGTCCCAATGTTTGAAAAATGTAATATGAGTTTTTATATGTGCTATGTAATTCTAAGCATCCAGATTAAAATTGAAAAATATACTTCTTAGCTGCACAAGAACAAGCATTTGCAAATATCCATAGCATTGTCTATTGAGATTATGAAGAAAGAGGCAATGTTACATGAACCAATATGCTGACTATTCAATAATAACCCAGATTTAATTTCCTTCTTAATTAACATGATATTTATAAACTTGACAGTTGCTTTCAATGAAAACACGAATACAAAAGACTCCTGGGTGAATTTTAAATCAAAACCTGAAGCATATTAGAATCATTTGTCTAATGTTGTTAAATTCAGTTTTTCTTTTATTTCAAACATTTTACTCTACTTATAGCATGTTCTCTCCCTGTGAGTCTGCAGGTATATCTATACTAATAAAAGAGAAAAATGCTAATTGACTGTACCTCTGCTATGATCATAGCCAATCAGGAGTAATATGCAAATCAACTCAGCAAAGATGGCAGGTAAATTTGCATACACAGGCAGTGCAGGCAGAGGCCCTATTCGGCTGATGAAATCCAAGATGCAGTCAGGGACCTGGGCAGGCTACGGGATGCAGCTCCTGAAGCTGCCAGCAGATCCAAGCTGAGATGGGGACCCGAGCAGGCAGTATCAGGCAGCACCTGATGCTGCCAGCCCAGGTCCAAGCCATCCCGCTGCCTGCGAGGTCCAAGCTGCCCTGTGATCACAGGGCAAAGAGCCCAGGCTTAGACGATCTGAGATCAAGAGGCAATCAGGCCAGGTCCAGCCAGCCTGAGATCATGGGGCAAAGAGCCCTGGTCCAAGCCGCCCTGCTATCACTGGGCAAACAGGCCAGGCAGAGCCTAGCAGGGAGAAAAAGCCACTCCGCTGACCAACCTGCACTAGGGACCTGTTCAGGAGTGTGGCGTGGAGTCCAGTGCCTCTAGCCTGCAGCCATAGAAAGTCTCCCTCTTCCCAGAGTTAGGAGCACCAGACCAGGTCTACCCAGCAGCCTGGTCCTGACTGCCCGGGGAGTTCCTGCAGACTGGGGTTTTATCTCCAAGCATTAGCAGTAGGAGACCAGTGCCTTTGTTATTGCTGTGTGTCCGGGGTTTAATTGGACAAATGCCCGGCAGTCCCGGTCTCCAGCTTGGCAAAATCTTTTAGGAGGAGAATTCTGTCTGGGTTTCCTCAAATTCCCTCAGCCCCTACTCACTCCTTTGTAAAGGCACAGAAAAATTGAGGCCCTTAAATAAAAATCAGAGGTCTCCAGCAACGGTGGGCCTCTCTCATCACAGTCATTTGAACTGGATGGCATTTGAATATTTATCTAGGCACCATGACAGAGAAACACAAGCTCAAGTCATGATCTCTGCCCTTAAAAAATTTACAATCTTATTAGAGCGAGTGGATGCTAAAAGCACATTAATAACATCAGAATGTAAGGCAACAACACAGAGAGAAACAGAGGCAATTGCTAGGATAATTTTCCAATAATTAGTACAAAGAGTATGTGCTATGAATTAAATAAAAAAAATATGTGTGGAAGTAGCTGCTTCATGAGTATGGCATCTCTTCCTATTTCAAAGGAAGATGAGTTCCATGTGAACTGTGTACTATGCTATGATATCTGAGGCACAGGACAAGGGAGGCCGTAAGTGTACTCTGCTTTGATATTTGAGTCATTCTTTATTGTTCAATGTAATTTATTTCTGTATGTCTGTTTTGTAATAGTTAAATTACTAGAATAATACATCTTGCTATAAAATATTACTAGAAGATCAAATGATCAGGTGACATTAATTGTTATTTTCTATAAATGAACACAATCTCTGGTATGCTAAAGTGATAGGTATTATAGAAATATTCAGATAGAGAGACCTACAGGCTTGATTACAAGTGAGGCTTACTAACACAACCCAAATTTATTGCTTAAAAAAAGCAGGGAGCCAACTAGAAACTGAACCAGACATAATTCCTTGAAGGGCAAGTGTAAATTGGATAAGCTTTGCTATTACAACAAGAGCAAGAAGAAAAAAATTCAGATGCAAGAATGAAAACCACATTGCATCCACTCTAAATAGCTGTTAAAGAAAAAGAATGGTATACTATGAAAATACTTAATACAGATTGTAAAAACATTTGTTCAAAGAGGATTTCCTAGAGTAGGTGATATTTCAGTTAATTTTTTAAATGTGAAGAGGTTAGCTAGATAAGAAAAAGGTGTAGAGGTCCTGAATTGCAGAGGGTGCAGGCAGAGTTGAGCGGAACGCCCCCTCTCCATGCACAAATTTCATGCACCAGAACTCTAGTTGTTAATAAATGATTTAAAAAATATCACTATGCAAAGAACAAATGCATATTGATTAAACTGGATAATGTATTATTTTCTAGGATAAGTATATTAAATTAACTCTCAGTGAACAAACAGCATGAATTATGCTAGTTAATTTTTGGAGCTGCAACTAGCTTGTTCAGAATGAACACTGATTTTGCTCTTCTCTTTAATTATTATTATTATTTTTTTGCATTTTAATTTCTTTATTGATTAAGGTATTACATATGTGTCCTCATCTCCCCTTTAACTTCCCAACTGCCCCACCCCCACTCATGTCCTCACACCCCTGTTGTCTGTGTCCATTGATTAGGCTTATATACATGCATACAAGTCCTTTGGTTGATCTATCCGATTTATACACACCCTTCCCTACCTTCCCTCTGAGGTTTCACAGTCTGATCGATGCTTCCCTTCATCTGAATTTGTTTCTGTTAATCAGTTTATGTTCTTTATTATTTCCCATAGATGAGTGAGATCATATGATATTTAACTTTCTCTGTCTGACTTATTTCACTTAGCATAATGCTCTCCAGTACCATCCATGCTGTTACAGATGGTAAGAACTTTTTTTTTTTTTTTTTTTTTTACCACAGCATAGTATTCCATTGTGTAGATATACCACAGTTTTTTAATTCACTCATCTGCTGATAAGCACTTAGGCTGTTTCCAAATCTTAGCTATGGTGAATTATGTCTCTATGAACATAGGAGTGTTTCCTGCTTCTTGGGATATATTCCTAGGAGTGAGTTCACTGGGTGAATGGGAGCTCCACTTTTATTTTTCTGAGGAAATGCCATACAGTTCTCTACAGTGGCTCCCCAGTCTGCTTTCCCACCAGCAGTGCAGGAGGACTCCTTTTTCTCCACATCCTCACCAACCCTAGTAGTTTATTGATTTGTTGATGATAGCCCATCTGACAGGTGTGAGATGGTACCACATTGTCCTTTTGATTTGCATCTTTTGGATAATTAGTAACTTTGAGCATGTTTTCATATGTTTCTTGGCCTTCCTTTTGTCTTCTTTCGAAAAGTTTTTATTTAGGTAAGTTGCCCATTTTTATATTAGATTGTTTATCTTCCTTTTGTTAAGTTGTATGAGTTTCTATAACTGTTGGAGATTAAACCCTCAAGGTTTTTGGAGACTGAGGAAAAGAGTTGTCAATGAAACAGGAGAACCAAGAGAGGGTGGTGCCTAGAGGAAAAGTGATGGGTGTTTCAAGAAGGGAGTGATTGACTCTGTTAAGTCCTGCTAAAAAGGTGAATAAGATAAAGTCTGAGGAATGATTATTAGATTAACAATGTGGGGATCACTGATGACCTTGGCAGGATAATTTCAGAGGAATGAAGGAAATATAGCTTAACTACAGTGCTGCAGACGCTGACTTGAGGACTCAAAATAAACACATTATCTGTTGGAGCAATCTTCAAAAGCAGGCAAGAAAGAGGAGAGCCAGAGTTTAGATGGAGATCAGTGATAACATTGGCAAATATGTTCTCCCATGTAGTGGTCTTTTTTGCTAATGGTTTCTTTTGCTATACAAAAGCTTTTTATTTTGATGTGGTCACGTTTGTTTATTTTCTCTTTAGTTTCCATTGCCCTACGAGTGGTATTAGTGAAGATATCCCTTTGGTATGTCTGCGATTTTGCTTCCTGTTTATTTTTGTGTATGGTGTAAGTTGTGTGTGGTTTTTTTTTCCTGCATGTATCTGTGCAATTTCCCCAACACCGTTTGGTGAACTCCATTGTATGTTCATACTTCATTTGTGAAATAGTAATTGAGCATAGTTGTTTGCGTATATTTTGGGTTCTCCATTCTATTCTATTCATCCTTATGTCTGTTCTTGTGCCAGTACCAGGCTGTTTTGAGAAGAGTGGCTTTGTAATACAGCTTGATATCTGTTATTGAGATCCTACCTACTTTGTTCTTCTTTCTCAGGATTGCTGCAGCTATTCTGGGTCTTTTTTTTTTTTTAATATTTATTCCAGATGAATTTTTGGAGAGTTTGTTCTAGGTGTGTGTAATATGCCATTGGTATTTTAATGAGAATTGCATTGAATCTATAGATTGCTTCGGGTAGTATGGACATTTTGATGATGTTGATTCTACCAATGCATGAACACGGTATCTTCTTCCTTCTGTTTATGTCTTCATCTGTCTTTTTGTTCAGTTTCCTATCATTTTTCGCACATAGGTCTTTTACCTCTTTAGTTCAGTTTATTCTTATGTATCTTAATTTTTTTTGGTGCAACAGTAAATGGGATTGCTTTTTTTTAGTCTTTCTTTCTGTGAGTTCACAATTGGTGTATAAAAATGCCATAGATTTCTTGACATTAATTTTGTATCCTGCTATCAATACATTGCTGAATTCATTTATTAAGTCTAATAATTTTTTGATAGACCCTTTAGGGTTTTCTATGCACAGTATCATGTCATCTACAAATAAGTACTGTTTTACTTCTTTTCCAATTTGGATGCCTTTTATTTCTTCATCTTATCTGATACCAATGGCTAATACTTCCACTACTATGTTGAACAGGAGTGGTGAAAATGGGCATCCCTGTTGTATTCCACATTTTAGGGAAAATGATTTTAGCTTTTGTCCATTGAGTGTGATGCTGGCTGTGGGTTTGTCATATATGGCTTTTATAATGTTGAGGTATGATCCTTCTATTCCCACCTTGAAGCGAGTTTTTATCAAGAAAGAGTGTTGGATTTTGGCATATCCTTTTTCTGCATCAATTGATATGACTATGTGATTTTTATCCCTAAATTTGTTTATGTGATGTATCATGTTTATTGATTTGTGGAAATTGTACCAACCTGCATCCCCAGAATAAATCTTGCTTGGTCGTGGTATATGATATTTCTGATGTACCATTCGATTCGATTTGCTAGAAATTTTTTGAGGATTTTGGCATCTATATTCATAAGGGATATTGGCCTATAATTCTCTTTCATTGTGTTGTCTTTATCTGGTTTTGGTATTAGGGTGATGCTGCCTTCATAGAATGAGCTTAGAAGTGTTCCTTCCTCTTGAATTTTTGGAATAGTCTGAGGAGGATAGGTTTTACTTCTTCCTTGAATGTTTGGTATAAGTCCCCTTTGAAGCCATCTGGCCTCGGGCTTTTATTTACAAAAAGCTTTTTGATGACTGCTTCAATTTCTTCCATAGTTATGAGGCTATTGAGATATTTAAGATCTTCCTGATTGAGCCGAGACCGGTTTGGCTCAATGGATAGAGCGTCGGCTTGGGGACTGAAGGGTCCCAGGTTCGATTCCGGTCAAGGGCATGTATCTTGGTTGCGGGCATATCCCCAGTAAGGGGTGTGCAAGAGGCAGCTGATCAATGACTCTCTCTCATCGATGTTTCTAGCTCTCTAGCTCTCTCCCTTCTTCTCTGTACAAAATCAATAAAAATATATTTTTTAAAAAAAAGATCTTCCTGATTGAGTTTTGGAAGGTTGTATTTTTCTAAAAATATGTCCATTTCCTCCAGGTTGTCTAGGTTGTTGGAACAGAGTTCTTCACAGTATTTTTAAACAATCCTTTGTATTTCTATGGGGTCTGTTGTTATTTCGCCTCTATCTTTTCTGATGTTGTTTATTTGGGTCCTCTCACTTTTCTTCTTGGTGAGCCTGGCTAGAGGTTCATCAACCTTGTGTATCCTTTCAAAGAACCAGCTCTTGGTTTCATTGATCTTTTGTATTTTTTTTTTTGTCTCTATGTCATTTATTTCTGCTCTGATCTTTATTATCTCCTTCTTTCTGCTTACTCTAGGCTTTTCTTGTTGCTCTCTTTTATTTATTTGAGTTGTAAAGTTAGATGATTTACTACCATTTTTCTGTTTGATTATGATTATGATTATGATTATGATTATTTTAGGTAGGCCTGTAGAGCTATAAACTTCCCTCTCAGGACTGCTGTCATTGTGTCCCATAGATTTCATATTGCTGTGTTTTTATTGTCATTATTTTCCAGGAAGCTTTTAATTTCCTCTTTGAACTCATGGCTAACCCAATCAATATATAATAGCATGCTATTCAGCTTCCAAGTGTTTGAGTGTTTTGGATTTTTTTAATGTAGTTTATTTCTAATATTATGCCATTATGGTCTGAGAAGATGCTTGGTATGGTTTCAATCTTCTTAAATTTGGGAAGACTTTGCATGTGACCCAATATGTGGTCTATTTTTTAAAATGTCCCATGTGCACTTGAGAAGAATGTATATTCTGTGGCTTATGGGTAAAATGTTCTGAAGATGTTAATTAAGTCCATGTGATCTAGTGAGTCATTTAGTATTGTTCTTTTTTTTTTCTGCTGATTTTTTTTGTCTAGAGGATTTATCCAGTGATATCAGTGGTATATTAAAGTCCCCTATTGTGATTGTATTGTTGTCAATCTCTCCCTTGACATCCTCCAGGAGTTTTTGTTGTTGTTGTTTAATGTATTTGGGTGCTCATGCATTGGGTGCATATATGTTTATCAGGGTTATATCTGCTTGTTGTATCGAGCACTTTAGTATTATGAAGTGGCTTTCCTTATCTCTTGTTATGGCCTTCATCATGTGGTCTGTCTTGTCAGATATAAGTACTGCTACCCCTGCTTTTATTTCATTTCCATTTGCCTGAAAGATATTTTTCTAACTCTTTACTTTCATTCTGTATGAGTCCTTCATTCTGAGGTGGGTCTCTTATAGAGCACATATATATGGATCATGTTTTTTAATCCATTCAGTCACTTGATGTCTTTTGATTAGAGCATTAATCCATTTACATTTAAAGTTATTATGGAAAGGTACCTGTTTGTAGCCATTTCTATGTTTTGAGCCTGTGTTCTTTCTTACCTTTTTATTTTTTCTTTTTACAGCATTCCCTTTAGCATTTTTTGCATTGCTGGCTTGGTAGTGATAAACTCCCTTAGCCTTTTTTTTTTTCTGTGAAGGTCCTTAATTTCTTTTCAATTTTGATTGATAGTCTTGCTGGATAGCGTATTCATGGATTCAGTCCCTTGCTTTGCATCACTTTGTAAATTTCCTTCCATTCTTCTCTGGCCTGAAGTGTTTCTGTTGAGAAATCATTTGATCATCTAATGGGAGATGCCTTGTATATAACTTTCTGTCTCTCTCTTGCAGCCTTTAAGGCTTTCTCTTTGTCATTAACATTTGTCATTGTAATTATGATGTGTCTTGGTGCAGGTCTTTTGGGATTCATCTTTTTTGAGACTCTCTGTATTTGTGTGACTTTTTCTTCCTCACAACAAGTAAGTTTTCTGACATTATTTCTTCAAATAAATTTTCTAATCCTTGCTGCTCTTCTTGTCTTTCTGGCAGCCCTATTATATATATGTTACTTTGTTTTGTATTGTCCCAAAGCTCCCTTAGGGTTTCCTCCTGCTTTTTAATTTTTTCTCCAGTTGCTTTTAGATTGGGCTTGTTTCTGTACTTTATCTTCTATTATAATTCACTATTTTGGTCCTCTGCTTCTTCTAGTCTACTGTTGAAGCTTTCTATGGTGTTTTTGGTTGTAGCTATATCATTTTTCATTTCTTCCTTATTTTTGCATAGGTTGTTGATTTTCTCATCCACCCAGTGAATGAACTGTAAGAAGATTATTCTGAATTATTTTTCTGCCATGTTGCATGCTTCCATTTCACTTATTTTCTTTCTTGGCGATTTCTCCATTTCTTTTATCTAGGGATTATTTCATTGTCTCCCCATTCTAACTATCACCAGAGGGTTCAAATGTCAAGTTTTGGGGGCTGAGGCCATGTGCAGTGGAAGTTTTGCATCCCCCAACTGTCACTGAAGAGTTCTGACACCAAGATGTGCAGCTGCTGTGGGCAGTGGTAGCCATGTTCACCCTGGGTCAGAGTCACAGGTGCTTAGTGTGGCCTCAGTGTGCACTTATGATCATGCACATGTGTTTTAAATCTCCACTTTAATACTCTTTTGACCATGGACAGTAATTATTTACTTTTTTCCAGTTGTGTAAGGAGAATTTGGTGAAACCTTGAAGTAACTAGAACTATATTTTGATTCCTTCAGTGTGTTTGATGCCATTTTAAGATTATTAGCTGGCCAAGAGAAACAGGGCCTAAGTCAGCAGTCATAAGACTAGAAACCAAAAAAATACTAGAGGAATCCACAGGCAGTAAAAGCTCAGACATATGCTGAAAGAACTTCTTCACTGATACTGGTCCTAGGGCAATAGGAGCTATAGAGAAAAATCAAAAATGGAACTACATCAAAATAAAAAGCTTTGCAAGGCAAAGAAAACCATCAATAAAACAACAAAAAAGCCCACTACATGGGAGAACGTATTTTTCAATGATATCAATGATAAGGGTTTAATCTTCAACATTTACAGAGAACTCATACAACTTAACAAAAAGAAGATAAACAACCCAATAAAAAAATGGGCAACTGATTTTTTTTTTTTTTTAGGTCAAACTATTTATATTTTTTATTATTATATTTTTTTACATTTTTTAATGAAATTATTGTCTGTGTAGATATTTTAACATTGTGCCCCTCTCCCATACATACTCTACCTCCCCAGAGTTTTATGTCCATTGGTTGTACTTATATGCATGTATACAAGTCCTTCGGTTGTTCTATTATCTCCGCCAGATCTCCCTACCCTACCTGCTGTAATTTGACAGCCTGCTTGTTGCTTTACTGTCTCTATATCTATCTTTTGGTTCATCAGTTTATGATGTTCTTTATTATCCATACATGAGTGAGGTCATGTGGTGTTTCTATTTCATTG